GAAAGTAGCCAAATGTCCTTGTGGTTACAAGTAGCATCTTCAATAAGGTTATTGAGGATGTGAATAGGAATTGAAGTACTATTGTTAGGAAGAAATCAAACTTAAATTGTTAATAAACTAATTATGAATCTCATTGCTTAAATTAAAGAAACAAAAAAGTTAAAATCTAAATCTAAGAATACTGTTCTGAAAAAAAAACTTAAAGTAGTTAAAAAAATTTTCAAGAAATCTATTATTGTTAAAGAACAAAAATTACTCTTATTTGGTTATAATACTCAAATTATAAATTACTATTATAATAAATATAATATGCTAAATATGATCAATATAATATATGTTATAAGTAGTTCAATTAGAATTATTCTTTCTGCAAATAAGACTCAGATGCAAAAAAAGATTTTTAGATAATCTAGATAAATTTAGAAATATTATATAACTCTATGAAATATATAAATAAAGCAATTCTAAACTTAAGTTAACTTATAAAAAAAATGTTTGAAGCAAATTTGCTAAAGCATTATTGTTTAAACATGTTATCAAAGCAACAAAAAAGCTTGTTCCTAATGTTAATATTAAGTTTACAGAATCTAGCATAAACTTTTCAAGCATGGATTTATTGCACATTGCACTCATTTCTGTTTATTTTGATAAAGAAAGTTTTGAAAAATATGTTTATGACAAAGATAAAATTATTGTTATAAATCTTGATTACCTAAACAAAATACTTAGTTATATAAAAAATAATAATAATCTTACACTTAGACTAGGAAATTCCGACTTTCTAAGTATTTTATACAAGGGTTCTGATGATATTAGTAAAACTAAATATGAAATTTGATTACTAAATATCGACTAGAAAAGGATCAGTATCCTATCTACTAACTACAATGTAATCATTAATATGCCTTCTGATGAATTAAAGAAGATATTCTTAAACCAAATAGTTATAAATAAAATAATAAGAATAATTGTATAACAGAATATTGAAACAGTTAAATTTATTTCAACTGGTGACTTTAATAATAAATGTATTAGTATTTTGCATAAAAGAATGATAGGTTTAATAATAAGTTTAATATTTATACTCTTTCTAATGATTATTCAGACCAAACTTTTCAAAAAGCCAAACTACAAAAAAATGATATAGTTAATATATTAAACTTCATAAAAACTTTTTCAGAGTACTGTATATGCATAGTTGAACATTGAAATAAAGTTAAAAAGAAGTTGCAGCTTTGTGGTAATGGTTTAAACACACTTTGGGACTATAGAAGAAGTAGTTAATGAAAGCCAAAGTTTTTTATAAAGTAAACAACAAAGTTGGATATATTAGTTTTATACAACTGTAAAACCTACAAGGA